CCCGCCACCGTAAAGGTACGCGTTTCCTGCGGCTGCCAAAACAAAGCCCAGTAAACCCTCGATTTTGCAGGCCTCCGTTTAGTGGACTTCGGAATTAATGGACAAAACTTGCCGGCCATGTGTCATAGGTGAAAATTAACGCCCTGTTAATTTTACAATGTTTTTTAACCCAGATTTGCTTATAATGAAATTAACAGGTTTTTTATTATTAATTCACTGGTTTTGGTGTTTGTGTGTGTGTGTTTTGTTAATCCTTACCCAAGGATATTTTCTCCATTGATTTTAGAGAGAATGGAAGGGAGGGAGGGTGAGAGAGAGAGAGAAATTGGTCGCCTCCTGCACACTCCCCGACAGGGGCAGAGGTCAAACCTGCAACCCAGGTAAGTGCCCTTGACCCGGATCAAACCCAAGACGCTTTGGTGCCCAGACACTCTAACCACTGAGCAGCACCAGCCAGGGCTAGGCTGTTGTGTGTGTTATTGTTGTTGTTGTTTAATTTAAGTCCAGTTAGCCACCAGGAGCCCTTCTTAGTAGGTGTTTTTTCTCAGGGTTCACCGTCGCATCTAGAGATCCTGAATTTAGTTACATCTTCAAATTTTGTTATTCCTCCAAATAAGGTCACAATCACAGGTCCTGCCGGTTTGGACTTGGATGTGTCTGTTTGGGGGCCATCATTCCACCCACTACCACTGGATAAAGGGTTAGAACAGTGGTTCTCAACTGCCCCCTGGGGACACTTGGCAACATTTGGAGACATTTTAATTGTCACAACTAGGGAAGGGGGAGTATACTACCAGCATCCCGTGGGCAGAGGCCAGGGGGCTGCTAAGCATCCTGTAATGTACAGGACAAAGAGTGATCCGGCCCCAAGTGGCAAGGGTGCGGCAGTTTGAGAACCCTGGGGTAGATGGTAGCTCCAGTCGGGCTGGAGTTGGCTCCACAGCCTGACACGGGCATTCACTGGGTGATTCAGTCAGGGGCCCAGCTTCTGCCAGGCTCCGTGCTTCCCCCGCAGGGTGGGACAACACCGCACGGACCTTGCCGACTATGCTCAGGACACTGCAGAGGAGTTCACTGTTGAGATGATTCCACTCTCAGTGCCCTCTTGAATTCCCAACAGGCCTGGACTTCCCAGGGTTCTGGCAAAGGCGAAGTGAAGAAAATCTGTCTAGGAAAGTGTTTCCAAATGGAGTGAAACAGGCACTTCTGGAAGGGATCCATTCATGAGGCCTTGACAACGTGAATTACACTCTTGGCAATGAGGCCTTTGTGGTTTTCTTAAAGCCAATAATACCAAGTTTCTTTCAGGGTCTCCCACATTTTCCCAGGCCCTGAAAAATCCTCTAGAGCAGGTGTTTTTGTTATCTACTGCTGCGTAACAAATTGCCCCAAACACGGTGGCTTCATAACTGTCACCAGAAAGGGGCCAGGCCTGAGGAGGGCCTGCCCTGGGGCAGTCGGGAATATGTGGGTTCTTGCCTTTGTGCAGGCTTTTACGATTTGAGTTCAGGTGATTTTGAGAGTACGTTTACGAAAGCCGGGGACGGTGAAACAAAGGAAGGACTTAAGATAGACGAGGCAAGATCACAGCAACAGGAATGAGCCTAAGCTGAGCTGCCTAGACTCAGGGAAGGAAGTCACAGTCACAGAAATGAGCCACACTGGGCTGTGTGGGCTCAGGAAACAAGTTACAGAGGCAAAAGGAGGGCCCTTGGAGATGAATTCAGGGAGTTAGCCTGGGGCAAGTTGCTGTGCCTGCTGCTCCCCTGGTTGCAAGTCTGGTAGAAATCCTGGGAGATTAGGAGTAAAAAGGCAGAGATACATGCCTGAGGAAGGACGGGAGGGCATGGGCGAGCCAGCACTGGCATCCTTTCTTTTTCTAATATATTTTATTGATTTTTTACAGAGAGGAAGGGAGAGGGATAGTCAGAAACATCGCTGAGAGAGAAACATTGATCAGCTGCCTCCTGCACACTCCCTACTGGGGATGTGCCCGCAACCAAGGTACATGCCCTTGACCAGAATCGAACCTGGAACCCTTCAGTTCGAAGGCTGACGCTCTATCTACTGAGCCAAACCGTATGGGCAGCACTGGCATCCTTTATCTCAAGGGTTTTTTTGTCTGTTTTCTTTAAATATATTACATATATTATTATTGTTATTATTATTGATTTCAAAGAGAGAAAGGAGAAGAGAAACATCAATGATGAGAGTGAATCATTGATCGGCTGCCTCCTGTACACCCCTTACTGGAGATTGAGCCTGCAATCTGGGCATGTGCCCTTGACTGGATTCAAACCCGGGACCCTTCAGTCTGCAGGCCAATGCTCTATCCACTGAGCCAAACTGGCTAGGGCTAGCTGGCTGTTAATTGCTTGGCCTTATTTAACTATGTGTCTCTGTTTTCCTCATTCCACTTGCCAAGATACTTCCTAGCTTCTTACTAACCTGCCTCAATACAGCAGCCATCAACTATTTCTCAGGATACATGGGTTGCCTGGGCGGTCAGTCCCTCTGTGGTCTCACTGGACTCAGTCACTTGGCAATATTCTTTGGGTGGCTGGGCTAGAGGGTGATACATGTGGCAGGTGGTGCTGGCTGCTAGCTGGGCATCTAGTTCTCCAGATGGCATCTCACCCAATAGACTAGAAAAGGAGTCTGCAGACCACAGCTCACAGGCCAAAGCCAACTTGCCAGGAGCTAGGAAGGGTTTTTACATTTCTGAATGGTTGAAAAAACTCAAAAGACTAATATGTCATAACACATGACAATTCTATGAAGTTCAAATTTCAGCCTCCATAAATAGCATTTTACTGGAACCCAGACACATAAATTCACTTACATATTGTCTAGAGCAGCTTTGCATGACAAAATTTAAAGTTGCAACAGAGACTGTATGTCTCACAAAACTGAAAATATTTATTACCTGGCCCTTTACAAAAAAGGCTTGTCAACCTCTGGGCTACCGCGGCTTCCTTGTGTTAACCAACTCAAAGGGTTCACAGTTTGGGGGGTGCTCTATTCAGAAATGAGACATGGGCCCGGGCCAGTGTGGCTCAGTTAATTAGAGCTTCGTCCTGTTCAATAAAAGGTAGTGGGTTTGATTCCTGGTCAGGGCACATACCTAGGTTGTGGGTTCAATCCGTGATGGGGGCGAGTATGGGAGGCAATCGATTGATGTTTCTCTCTCACATCAATGCTTCTCTCTCTCTCCCTCCTCTCTCTAAAATAAATAAATAGCCCAGCCCGTGTGGCTCAGTGGTTGAGCGTTGACCCATGAACCAGACGGTGACCGTCTGATTCCCTGTCAGGCACATGGCAGATTGTGAGCTCCATCCCAGGTAGGGGGCTTGCAGGAGGCAGCTGATTCTTTCTCATCATTGATGTTTCTATCCCTGTCTCCCTCTCCCCTCCCTCTCTGAAATCAATAAAAACATATTAAAAAAAGAAAACACTGCCTTCTTTATTTAAAAAAAATTAAATTAAAAAAATTAAAAAGGAATGACACATGGTTGTCACAAGGTAGTTTTACTTGCAGGAAGTAACGGAGATGGGATTCATGTCCGAAGCTGGTGTCCCCTAAGGAAGGCTTAGCCATTGGTTTGGGTTTTTTTTAAAAATATGTTTTTATTGATTTCAGAGAGGAAGGGAGAGGGAGAGAAAGATAGAAACATCAATGGATTGGGCCCGCAACCTGGACATGTGCCCTGATCGGGAATCGAACCATGACCTCTTGGTTCATAGGGGGACCGACGCTAACCACTGAGCACACCAGTCAGGCAAGGCTTAGCCATTGTTTATATACACTATTTGGTTAATCACACATTGATTTCTTCTTTGCAATTGGCTACAATGATCTGGTTGGGTTCTTGTCAAGCTCATCCTGTTTCCAGCTGTCTGCAAAACACTGTGCTACATTTTAACATGTAGTGTAAGGCTTAGAGCTGCCAGACCTTGAGGCCCTTGTCCTGTCTAATACTTGGAGCGTCTGGAGGAAGATTCCAAGGGAGTGACAGCGGGAGGTGAGAGTGATCCTGTAAACTCACACCTTCTGCCGAATTCTGTTGATGGAAACAAGTCGCCAGCCAGCCTGGATACAAGGAGAGGGGAGCTGGTTTCCCTCTCTTGATGGAGGGGCTGCAACATACGGCAGCCATGATGTTCAACCTTGCACATCAGGGGACCTTAAGGTGGACTGTCCAGTCAGAATTCAGGGGGAAGTCATCTTTATTTCCATGAACTTCTCACCGGAATCTAGCAAGTCTCTCAAGCCTGTCACAGCAGGCACGGGCCGGTCCCGGGACCCCTTCGCCCGTGGAAACCCAAGATAATTTCACCTCACGTCCTGGTCACGGCAGACACCTCAAAATACCACTCATGCTCATCTCCACTTGGAGATGGCAGTGGTTAGTAGAGCCCTGGTGAATCAGGATTACTTAATGTGCTCATGAAGAAGCATGTGTTTTATTTAAAAAATATATTTTATTGATTTTTTACAGAGAGGAAGGGAGAGGGATAGAGAGTTAGAAACATCGATGAGAGAGAAACATCGATCAGCTGCCTCTTGCACACCACACCCCCTCCTGGGGATGTGCCTGCAACCAAGGTACATGCCCTTGACCGGAATCGAACCTTGGTCCCTTCAGTCCGCAGGCTGATGCTCTATCCACTGAGCCAAACCAGTTAGGACAAGAAGCATGTGTTTTTACATCACATAAGGAACAGGTCTCCTACCTTATGTCAGTCTGACGGGCTTCCTTTGCAGTCCTGCGCATTTTTAAAACGCATTTGCAGTTATGCCTTGAGAAAAGGCCCTGGAAGCTGCCCTCCGCCCTGGGAGGCTCTGCAGAATCAGGTCAGAATCAGGTCATGGCTTAGGCAGATTAGCAAGGCCTTACACTGACCTCCTAAAGATCCCTAATCCTGGGACAGCAGCCAGCCAGCAGGCCCAGGGCCACACAGGTCCCTGCACCCTTTCCCAGGCCCTAGCCGGGGCTGCCATGGCCTCCCTCTTCTCTGGTCGAGTTCTGATCCGAAACAACAGTGACCAGGACGAACTGGATACAGAGGCAGAGCTCAGCCGCAGGCTGGACAACCGACTGGTGCTGCTGTTCTTCGGCGCTGGGTCCTGTCCCCAGTGCCAGGCCTTTGCCCCGATTCTCAGGGACTTCTTCATTCGGCTCACCGATGAGTTCTATGTGCTGCGGGCAGCCCAGCTGGCCTTGGTGTATGTGTCTCAGGACACCACAGAGGAGCAACAGGACCTGTTCCTCAAGGACATGCCCAAGAAGTGGCTCTTCCTGCCCTTTGAGGATGACCTGAGGAGGTGAGGTGGGAGGGGAAGGTCAGGGAGGGCTTCCTGGAGGAAGGGCTGTTTCTGCTGAGAGTGAAGTATTTTTTTGTTTTATTGTTGACAGTATTACAGAGGTCCCCCATTTTCTCCCCCTCCACCTAGTCCCCACCCCATTCCAGGCCTTCACCGCACTATTGTCTCTGTCCATAGGCTATGCATATATGCATATAAGTTCTTGGGTTAACCTCTTCCCGTCCCCCTCCTCTCCTCCCCTCTGAGATCTGTCAGTCTGTTCCAGGCATCCATGCCTCTGGACCTATTCTGTTTATTTTGTTCTTTAGATTCCACATATAAATGAGATCATAAGAAATTTATCTTTTTCTGACTGGCTTATTTCGTTTAGCATCATAGTCTCCAAGTCCATCCACGCTGTTGCAAAGGGCAAGAGATCCTTCTTTTTTACAGCTGCATAGCGTTCCATTGTGTAGATGTACCACAGCTTTTTTTATCCACTCATCTACTGATGGGCACTTGGGCTGTTTCCAGATCTTAACTATTGTAAATAACACTGCTATGAACAAAGGGGTGCATATATTCTTTCTGAATGGTATTTCGGAATTCTTAGGATATATTCCCAGAAGTGGGATCACTGGGTTAAACGGTAGTTCCATTTTTAATTTTTGGAGGAAACTCCATACCGTTTTCCATAGTGGCTGCACCAGTCTGCATTCCCACCAGCAGTGCACTAGGGTTCCCTTTTCTCCACATCCTCGCCAGCACTTGCTGTTTGTTGATTTAGTGATGGTAGCCATTCTGGCAGGTGTGAGGTGATACCTCGTAGTTTTAATTTGAATCTCTCTGATGATTAGTGATGTTGAACATTTTTTTCATATGTCTATGGGCCATCTATATGTCCTCTTTGGAGAAGTATCTACTCAGGTCCTTTGCCCATTTTTTAAAAAAAATTTTTTTTAATTGATTTCAGAGAGAAATGGAGAGGGAGAGAGAGATAGAAACATTAATGATGAGAGAGAATCATTGATCAGCTGCCTCCTCCATGCCCCCCATTGGAGATCCAGCCCACAACCCCAGGCATGTGCCCTGACCGGGAATCGAACTGTGACCTCCTGGTTCATAGGTTGACGCTCAACCACTGAGCCCATTTTCTAGTGGGACTGTTTGTCTTCCTTTTGTTGAGTTCTTTATATATTTTGGAAATTAACCCCTTATCAGTTGTATCATTGGCAAATGTGTTCTCCCAATGCAGTGGGTTCCCTTTTCATTTTGATGATGGTTCCTTTTGCTGTGCAGTTTTTTAGTTTGATGTACAGTATTCGTTTACTGACAGAGCGCCATCTGGTGTGAGCAGCCAGGCCATATTTGGAGGACAGAGGGCTACAGAGTAGGGCCTACACACCCCTGTGTCCATCCAGCCCCCAGGGAGTTTCACAAAGACTCAAATACATAATAGCAAACTGCAGTATGTTCTGGAAGACAAAGGAAGGATACCACGTAGAGATATAATGGGGGACCTTGCTGAGATGTGGGGGTCAGGGGATGCTCACTTAAGGAAGTGGCTGTAAAGAGAGACCTCTAAGGACAGGAAAGTTGGGAGGATGAAGTCTGAGGAAAGGGGAGGGTTTCTAGGCAGAGGCCATAGCACAGCACAAAGGCTCGAAGGACAGCCAATTTAGGGACCGATAAGTAATTGCAGGTGTGAGAAGTCAGCAGGCACCACGTGGAGCAGTGCCCCAAATGCCACCTTAACAAGTTTGATGTGGTCCTCGGCATAGCTGGGAGCCATGGAGGGTGCTGGAGCTGAGGGAGGGAGAGGTGTCGGGAGTCAAGCTTTACAATTAGCGGCCCAATAAATGGCGCTTTAGTCTGTGGCTATTTTTTTTTTTTTTAATTTTTATTGCTTAAAGTATTACAAAGGGTATTACATATGTGTCCATTTTATCCCCCCGCCCTAGACAGTCCCCTAGCCTCCCCTATCCCCCAATGTCTTATGTCCACTGGTTATGCTTATATGCATGCATACAAGTCCTTTAGTTGATCTCTTACCCCCCTACCTCCTGCCCCGCAACCCTCCCCGGCCTTCCTGCTGCAGTTTGACAATCTGTTTGAGGCAGCTCTGCCTCTGTATCTATTATTGTTCAAAAGTTTATAATGGTCTCTATTATCCATGAATGAGTGAGATCATGTGGTATTTTTCCTTCATTGACTGGCTTATTTCACTTAGCATAATGCTCTCCAGTTCCATCCATGACGTTGCAAATGGTAAGAGTTCCTTCCTTTTTAGAGCAGCATAGTATTCCATCGTGTAGATGTACCACAGTTTTCTAATCCATTCATCTACTGATGGGCACTTAGGCTGTTTCCAGATCTTAGCTATGGTGAATTGTGCTGCTATGAACATAGGGGTGCATATATCCTTTCTGATTGGTGTTTCTGGTTTCTTGGGATATATTCCTAGCAGTGGGATCACAGGGTCAAATGGGAGTTCCATTTTCAGTTTTTTAAGGAAACTCCATACTGTCTTCCATAGTGGCTGCACCAGTCTGCATTCCCACCAGCAGTGCACAAGTGTTCCTTTTTCTCCACATCCTCTCCAGCACTTGTCGTTTGTTGATTTGTTGATGATAGCCAGTCTGACAGGTGTGAGATGGTACCTCATTGTTGTTTTGATTTGCATCTCTCGGATGATTAGTGACTTTGAGCATGTTTTCATATGTCTCTTGGCTTTCTGAATGTCCTCTTTTGAAAGGTGTCTATTTAGGTCCTTTGCCCATTTTTTGATTGGATTGTTTATCTTCCTTTTGTTAAGTTGTATGAGTTCCCTATAAATTTTGGAGATTAGGCCCTTATCAGATATGACATTGGCAAATATGTTTTCCCACACAGTGGGTTTTCTCGTTGTTTTGTTGATGGTTTCTTTTGCTGTGCAGAAGCTTTTTATTTTGATGTAGTCCCATTTGTTCATTTTCTCTTTCGTTTCAAGTGCCCTAGGAGCTGTATCAGTGAAGAAATTGCTTCGGCATATGTCTGAGATTTTGTTGCCTTTGGATTCTTCTAGAATTTTTATGGTTTCCTGTCGTACATTTAAGTCCTTTATCCATTTTTAGTTTATTTTTGTGTATGGTGTAAGTTGGTGGTCTAGTTTCATTTTCTTGCATATATCTGTCCAATTTTCCCAACACCATTTATTGAAGAGACTATCTTGGCTCCATTGTATGTTGTTGCCTCCTTTGTCAAATATTAATTGAGCATATTGGTTCGGGCCGATTTCTGGGCTCTAGTCTGTGGCTATTTTTAAAAATATATATTTTTATTGATTTCAGAGAGGAAGGGAGAGGGAGAGAGAGATAGAAACATCAATGATGAGAGAGAATCATTGATCAGCTGCCTCCTGCACGCCCCCTAATGGGGATCAAGCCCACAACCCGGGCATGTACCCTTGACCAGAATCGAACCCAGGACCCTTCAGCCCACAGGCCGACACTATCCACTGAGCCAAACCAGCTAGGGCTGTGGCTATTTTAGAACTTTTCCCTTTTCCGTAGCAAGCCTTTCACTCTTTTTAAACCCCAACTTTTCATTATGAAAATTTTCAAAAATACCAACAAGTTGGAAGAAGCACACAGGGAAACGCTAGGTCATTGTTAACATCTTGCCATATTTTCTGTATCTACATACGGGCGAGGTTTGTGCTGAAACATTTGAAAGTGAGTTGCAGACTTCGCGACATTTTCTGATTTCATTCATTTTGTTATACAACAAGTTGGAAGTTTCTGGTCATGGAGAACTTCATTCTCCCCCCGAGATTATCAAAGTTTGGACATTGGCTCACTCCCACTGCCCTTTGCAGCTGGGGAAGGGGGGGTTTTTTCCCCAGAAGTGGCAACATTGCCGTCCCTGAGGCAGAAATGCCAGCTGCCAGGGCATCGTAGAAAATGCTGACCTTGTTTGAGGCGCTCCTCTCAACAGAACATCCACCCAGCTGGCACCTGGAGAAAGGGAGCCAGTTCCAACCCTCCACCCCCACCCACAGGATTGCCAGATACAGTGGGGCCTTGACTTACAAGTGTCCCGACTAAGGAGTTTTTTGAGATACCAGCTGTCTCTCTGCCGATTTTTTGCATTGAGTTGATAGAGTAATTTGAGTTAACGAGCTCCTTAACAAGCTCCATCTCGGAATGAATTAAACTCCTAAGTCAAGGCCCCACTGTATAGGATGCCCAGTAAAACACAAATTTCACACAAACTATGAACAACTTCTTAGTATAAGTTTGTCCTACATATTACATGGGACAACCTTATACAAAAAAGTATTTGTTTATATGATATTCATACTTAACGGGTGTCCTGTATCTTCACTTGCTGTCTGGCAACCTACTCCTGTGGGATTTTGCAGGTGTCATGTGTTCTCTGTGTGGAGGCCTGGAAAAGGGCCACCCAGGAACCAAGGGGGTGGAAATTAAGAACCGAGAGTGAGGCGTGCTCTCCGGCCTTTCCCTTCCCCCTCCTCTTCCCTGCAAGTGTGTTAGCTTTGTCTTTCCCTCTCTGGAGCCAAAGGGCCCTTCTTCTGCCTCTAGCTTGTTTCCTGAGCCTACGCAGCCCAGCTGGCTCGCTTCTACCACTTCTGTAACTTTCTAATTTGGAAAAAAGAAAAAGAAAGAAAGAACTATGGGTGATGGGCCCAGTCTGGCTCCCTTTACTCAACGCAGACTGTGAGGGATTCTGGCCTAGATAGGTCCTGGGGGTCGGGGTGTGTGGGGGGGGGGCTGTGGATGGTTCTCACCAGCTTCCTCCTCAGACTGAAAAGAAAACGTTGTAACCCTGTGGGCCCTGCGTGATCAAGTCAGCACCCCAATCTCCCTCCCACCTCAGGGCCTTTGCATGGGCTGCGCTGCGCCTTCTGCCTGGGACCCCTTCCCCCAACTCTTCCCCCCCCCCCCCCCGCCCCCGCCCTCCTCCTCCTGCAGATCTCAGCTCAAAGGTCACCTCCTTGGAGAGGCCCTCCCTAACCGCCAGCCCCTACCCACACTTCTTTATGGCATTTATCAATATCCATTCATTCCTCCCACACATCAGGAGTAGTACCTACTCTGCGCCCCACACTGTTGCAGGCACTGGGGACACAGTGAGTAAGAACAGAACCCGTGCCCTGGCGAAGCTGGTTCTATTGTGGGGGAAATCGCCCATGCCATGTGCAGGATGCTGACCGGCACTGAACGGCAGCGGGAAAGGAGGTGCTGCGATGTGAAGTTGGGTCTCAATGGGCAGAGGCCTGGGAAGAGCGCACCAGGTAGAGCAGACAGGAGATGGCCCGGCCCGGCCCGTGCAAGGTCCCTGAGTCGGAGCGAGTCGGGCTGTCGGAGGGAGGCACAGCGCAGGGCCGGTGTGGCCTGGCCTGCCCCGGTACCGGTACCGGTACCGGGCTTCCCCAGCGCCCAGCCCGGGCATGCACACGGGGCGTTCAGTTCAGTAGATGTGGGGGTCCCGGCTCGGGGTCACTGACCTGCCGGCCGTGCAGGGACCTCGGACGCCAGTTCTCGGTGGAGCGGCTGCCCGCCGTCGTGGTGCTCAAGCCGAGCGGGGACGTGCTCACGCGCGACGCGGCCGACGAGATCCGGCGCCTGGGCCCCGCCTGCTTCGCCAACTGGCAGGAGGCGGCGGAGGTGCTGGACCGCAGCTTCCTGCAGCCCGAGGACCTGGACGACCCCGCGCCGCGCAGCCTCACCGAGCCGCTGCGGCGCCGCAAGTACCGCGTGGACGGGGCGGGGCGGGGCGCACACGGCCGGGCTGCGGGGGGCGCCCCCGGGGCGGAGGGCGGGGCCGGGGAGCTGTTCTGACCTGGGTGGGGGATGACCAGAGGGGGGTCTGTAATGACACCTCCGAGGAGGCGGGGGTGGGATGGGGGTTGTTCTGACCCCCTGGTGGGGCGGGTCTATGGGGCGCCCTCACCCCTCACCCCTCGCCCCTTACCCGGTGGTGGGTGGGGCCGGGGGCTACTCTCAGCTCCCCAAGGTGGAATCAGAGACGGGCCCCACAGGGTCCGAGCGGGGCGGCGGGGGGCGGGGGGGCGGTGGCATTCTGAGTTCTGGCCAGGAGGTGGGGCCCCAGCAGGAGGCCATAGCAGGGAGGCGGGGGAGTGTAGGGGGAGTTCTCCAGATGGCGGGCAAGGCCCACGGGGGAGTGGGAAGGGCCTGGTGTTGTTGTTAATCCTCACCCCAGGACATTTTTTCCATTGATTTTTTTAAAGAGCGAGTGAACGGGAGGGAGGGGAGAAAGAGAAAAAAACATGGGTGTGAGGCACATTGACTTGTTGCCTCCCACACGCGCCTGCATCCCAGGTACTTGCCCGTGACCAGGAGTCAAACCCGAGGTCCTTCATGGGCAGATGCTCTACCCACTGACCCAGGCCGGCCAGGGCTGAGAAGGGTCATTCTGAGGCCCGGAGAGGGGGGAGGAACTGGAGGAGTCTGTTCTGATCCTGCCCCCCTCCCCCCAACACACACACCCCGGCAGGTGAAGGGCGGGACGGAGATCTGGCTGTGAGATACCCTCTCCCAAAAGGGGGCGGACCCAGGGCCTGTCCTGTCCTCCAGAGGCGCGCGTCTGAGCCTTCCGTCCGGGTCTCCAGAAATATTTTTACTACGATCTGGGTGAGGTGGGATCGTTACTGGTTCCAACACGGGAAAAAGCAAATCAAATCGAATAATCGTGCTGAGGACACTCAGCCCATCCTCCATGAACTGAGATGTCCATGCTGTGGAATTGTGCACCTGGAACCTGTATAGTTTTGTTAAGCAGTGTCACCCCAATAAGCTCAATAAAAGGGGGGAAATGAGGTGTCCGTGTATTTAATATGCAAACTGCAACAACCCTTTATCGTTTATACGGGATGCATTTCAATACTTGGTGCCATGGATGCCGGGGTCCCGAGTGTTCCCGGAGAGACAACAGAATCCTATACAGTAAAGAGCTAATATGTTGATTAGATCGAACAGCAGAACGACAGCCCGGACGACCTTCCGGACAAAGCCGGGCGGCAAGGACCGGCCGAGCCCCTTGCACGAATTCTAGTAGAGAAATAAACCAAAACCCCAGTCTGGAACCCCTTTCCTGGCTGTACGACTGGGACAGTCACCGCCGTCTCTAAGCCTCCTTTCTTTCTTCTGAAAAATGACACGAAGGGCGCGTCCTATCTGGCAGGTCCCGCGGGGACAGGAGTTATCTGGGCGCCAGGAACCTCTGGGTTTTGCCTCTGGCGCCACCTGAGCGAGGGGTGGGGAGCCAAGTTCTCCGGGGGGCGGGGCCAAACAGGTAAATGAGATGTAAACCCCTTCCCTGCGCCTAATCTCCGGAAAGGCTGACACGCCGCTGCTCTGGGCCGGGCGGCCTGGGGACTGGACTAGTGCGGCCTTATTTCATTCTCACCCCCCCCCCCCCCCCCCCCCGATCTCCAGGTCGGTGATGCCGCCTATTGCAGGTTCCAGCCAGTTTTCCCTTTGCGGACCTCAGTGAGCCACCTGTGCATGGGACCCCGGTGATGATGGCTCTTAAATTCAGTGTACCTAACGGCAGGGTGCAGGCTCCTCTGCAGCTTTTAGAAGACAACGGTTTTGTGGGGCTTTTATTGAGAGAGAGAGAGAGAGAGAGAGAGAGAGAGAGAGAGAGAGAGAGAGAGAGAGAGAGAGAGAGAGAAGAGAGAGAGAGATTGCAAACGCCTGAACTAGGCATGTGCCCTGACCCCAATCCAACAGGCAACTTCTCTGGTGTCCCAGAGGACGCTCCAACCAGCTGAGCCGGGCCAGGGCCAAGTTCCTTTTAAAAAACAACAACGAAACAGGTGCTTAGGCCGGCGGTGGGGGTACTTTAGAGACCTTGAGGGGTCCCTGGATGGAGCTACCACGCCCTTGCCCCTCGTGGGGGCCACCCTCCCCTCATTGGCCCCGCCCCACGCCGGCCCCTCCCCGCCAGCACCCGAAGCCGGGAGGGGGCGCCCCAGGGTCCTCCAAAGGAGGAGAAAACACCGTCTCAAGTTTGCGCAGAGCTCCCTCGTCCCCATTGCGACCTGTACCCCGAAGCTCCTGAAGTCACCCCATCTTTCAAGCACCCCTGCGACCCCCGCCCCCTTCAGGACCCCCCGCCACCCGCAGCTCCCCTGCTCCCCGAAAATCTCTGACTCCTCGACGGCCCCCGGCCCGCCCGCGCCATGGCCCGCTCCTACAGCGACCGGGTGCTGGCCGCGCTGATCCTGCTGGGCGTCCCGGCGGCCGTCCTGGCGGCGCTGGGCGCGCAGCTGCTGTTCCAGCTGCAGGCGGGCCGCGCGGAGCTGCGGGGGACGCGAGCTGACGGGCTGGGTCCGGAGCTGGGCGCGGGCCCGGGGCTGCCCGAGGACGCGGCCGGGGCGCTGCTGCCGCTGGCCGCCGCGCTCGCCGCGCTGGCCCTGGTGCTGAGCCTCACCTGCCTGCTGCTCGCCGCGCTCTGCGGCCACCTGGGCGCCGAGCTGGCCAGGGGGCCCGGCCCCGGCAGGTAGGAGGACTGGCCTCGCCGCCCGGCCCCGGGGCTGGGCGAGCCCAGGCGAGCCACTACCCCTCTCTGGGCCTCAGGTTGGGGGGAGCTTTCCTTCCTTCCCCCATCCCTTTATCATCTCTCCCTCCCCCCATGTATCCTTCCCTCCTCCCTCCTTCCTTCCATCCCTGCCTCCCTCTCTGTTCTATCAGTTGAAAATGTATAGCAGGTGAAACTACTGCTGCGACCATCCGCTTTACAAATGTGCCAACTGAGGCTCAGAGAGGGCCAGGGGCCGGCCAGCTCTCTGGTGGAGGCTCTGAGGCTCAGAGAGGGCCAGGGGCCGGCCAGCTCTCTGGTGGAGGCTCTGAGGCTCAGAGAGGGCCAGGGGCCGGCCAGCTCTCTGGTGGAGGCTCTGAGGCTCAGAGAGGGCCAGGGGCCGGCCAGCTCTCTGGTGGAGGCTCTGAGGCTCAGAGAGGGCCAGGGGCCGGCCAGCTCTCTGGTGGAGGCTCTGAGGCTCAGAGAGGGCCAGGGGCCAGCTAGCTCTCTGGTGGAGGCTCTGGTCATTTAGGGGGCACTAGGCCCTGAGTGCAGAGAGACGGGGATTAGGCTTAGGGTTGTTAAGTGATGAATGGATGGATGGGTGGATGGATGCACGGATGCGTGGATGAGCGGACGGATGAATTCATAGGGCATGGTTACATGGATGGGTAGCTATATGGTTGAATAATCAACAGGAATGGCTGGATGGTAAATGGTGGTGAACACTAACCTGGAACAATGGATGAGTGTTCAGGATGGATCCTCACACAGATCTTGTTTCCCCCAAAGCTGGGCCACTCCCTCCCCCCCACCCCCAGCCTTCCCCAAGCAGCTCTACCTCCAGAGCCCCCTCTTCCTGCCCCCTCTTCCCAGGTCTGACTGGTTTTTCTATGACTGCCGCCTCCTCAGACATGTGGCCGTGGGCCTCTTCTGCTGTGGGGTCTCCGTCTACTTAGCAGGTGCGTGCTGGGGGACAGGACGTGGGGTGTGGGGGCCGTGGGTGGGAACAGCCAGGGTTAATGGTCCCATAACCGGGGTAAACTCTGGAGCCACCCTGCCTGTGTTTGACACTTGGGTCTGACACTTTCTGCCTCAGTTTCCTCATCAGTACAATGGGATGATAACAGTTTGTTGCTTCGTAGAATTGCTGAGAGGATTTAGAGTTAATCCCCCTAAAAGCCCGTACATGGCATCTGGCTCCAGTGGGAGGCTTTGGGGGGGGGGGGGGCGGGGATTCATAAATGGTACTTGTCTTCCGAACACTCCTGATTCATCAGTTTTCTACGTTTGGTTTTGAACAAAATTTTCTGTCCTTGGTAGTTTCAAGAGATAGTTTCAGAGGTTGGCCTTAGCAAAAAACTGTTTTGGTTACAAATATCAGAACTTCCAGCTCAAGAATGGCTTAAGGGGGGGGGGGTACACTTTATAAAGCAGAAATGTAATTTAAAATCCCCAAACATGAAGGAGAGTAAAAATAATTAGCTGGGTGCCAGAGGACTCATCATCCTCTTTTCCTCCCTGGCTTTTAATAACTTAGATCAACGTTCTCACCCACACCTCCTGGTAAAGGCATCAAATCATCACGTTTCTTTAAAGAGATTCCTGACATGTTATATTTGGTTGTAATCTTGACAAATGTTTAGGAGACACAATTAAAATACGTATTTATGAGATGTGAGCTGAGGGCTCACTATGGGAAATTGTATGTAAAGTGCAGGGAACTCTGCTTAACTTTTGTTGTTTGAGTTAATAAAATGCCCCAGGTATAGTTCTTTTTTTTAAAAAAGAGAGTGGAGCCCTAGCTGGTTTTCTCAGTGGTTAGAGCATCAGCTCTGGGATTGAAGGGTCCCAGGTTCGATTATGGTCAGGGGCACATGCCTCAGTTGCAGGCTTGATCCCTGGCCCCGGGTCGGGGCGCATGCAGGAGGCAACCAATAGACATGAGATGTTTCTCTCTCTGTCTCTCCCCGTTCCTTCCACTCTCTCTAAAAATCAATGGAAAAAATGTCCTTGAGTGAGGATTAACAACAACAGCAAAGAGAGTGGATGGGGTGACCAGCGTATCTGAAAAGACCAGGGGATTGTTGGCCTCAGGTGTGATTGAATCCAGGTGCTCAAATGAGCCCATCAGAAATGCCCCTTGCTTCACCTCTTCCCCTGCTTCCCCTTAGAAAGATGGTTGTATCTGTGCTTTCAACAAAATGCCTACAACCTCCCGTCTTCTCACGAACCAGCAAACATGTTGGAGACTTAAAGTATCCTCATTTTAAAATATGAGAAAACTCACAAAGGGCAAAAAAAAAAAAAAAAAAAAAAAGTAACTATGTCAGTCTCATCAAGCATTAAGAATTCGTTCAGCTCCCATTTAGATTCTTTCTAAGGTTAGGTGACCTCATTGGCAAGAATTCCCCAGTATGTCCAGTCAATCCTCCATTCATTGCTAACCAGAGCCAAAAGAATAATTATAAAGACCTTTTCAAAAATGTTCAGAGCGGCACGCCCTTTCTCTCTCTTGAGCACGCCCCTGCCTTTCCCCCTCTCCTTCCCCAGGCGTGTCCTCTCTCTTTTTCCTAGGCTCCGAGGGCCCTTCTCTTGCCTCCGTAACTCATTTCCTAAGCCCACATAGCCCAGCTGGCTGGCCTTTCCCACCTCTGTACCTTTCTAAATAAACTTTCTCTTATAATTTGGAAAAACAATTGTGTAGAGCAAAAAAACGTCCTTGGCCTCACTTTAACGTCAGATACAATGTGTCATCTTCAAAAGCAAGAGTTCAGAGCCAAAGAAGGCATGAAAACACTCCCATAAAGTGCCAAGAAATCCTGTCAGCCCCGGCTTCTCTCTCAAGCTCCCCAGGGGATGCAGTAAGAAAATTTCTGGGTTCTCAAATCCCAAGCAAAAGTCTCAGTGCTGATTCTCATTGGCTGAGCTTGGGCCACGGGAAAACCCTGCACCAATCACTACAAGACGGGAAGCAGTGCTCTGATTGGCCACGTCACTGATGCCATAGGGGTGGGTCAGAGCTTCTAGACCAGCCTCCAGGGTGGGCATAGGGACTGGACTGGCCGTTCTCAATGGGGGCTGAGGCTATGCCCCAGGGGATATTTGGCAATATCTGGGGAGGTGTTTGGTTGTCACACAGGGTGGGAGAAAGGTACTATTGGGATCTAGGGGGTAGACACTGGTAAATGTTCCCACAGTAATGAATGGTGCCAACTGCATGCTGGACCAGCAAGGCCCTCAAGGCCAGGTCACCCACTGCCTTGTTCACATTAGCAAACCAAGGCCGGAGGGGAGCCGTGATTCACTGAAGGCCAATGACGGGGATTCAGAAAACCTGAGATCTGGGTTGTTTTAATTGTGGTAAAGTGCACATAAAACGAAATTCACCCTTTTACGGTAAAATTGACGTCATGAGGATATATTTGTGGGCTGTGCGAGGATCGATGGGTTGATCCACGTGCCTATGGTGTTGGACGGTTTTGAATGCCCGCCCCTCTGTGGGAAGCTCTCCCAGGGCTTGGGGAGCACGTGTTTGCAGACTGAGTAAATGAGAAACATTTCCTTCCTCAGGACTGTCCATCTATGCTCTGCTGCTCTTCGAGATCGAGGCGGGAGCAGCAGCCGCCTCCATCCTTGGCTTGGGCGCCCTGGCCCTGGTGGCCGTACTGACCCACGCGCTGCTCCGGGCTGCCCAAGCCACCCGCCGGGGTCTCCGTGAGCTCTCTCCACCGCACTTCGAAGATGACCCTGCCCGCTCCACTGAAGTCTCCAAGGCCAGCCCCAGGGCTCCGCCCCAGCAGGGTACCCACCACCAAATCCCCTACTCATTCTGCCCAGAACCTGGGGACCCCCTCAGACCCTCAGTCACTGCCTCCATGTCTGCAACGGTGGGGGGTGTCCGGGAGAGCAGCCTGTCTGCATCCTGCATGCACCGGACACTGTTGGTCAGTGGGGGGCCCTGGGACGGGGTCACCCATGAGATGCGCAGCATGCTGGGACACAAGCCAGGGGGGTTGGGGAAAGACTCCACACTGGTGTGAGCTCAGGGGCCAGGGACAGAGAGCTGGTGTGAGGCAGCAGGAAGAGCAGTCTGCAGAGATCAGTCACAGTAGCAGTACAGCTTGTTCTCTTTCAGTTCACAGCATCCCTCAAAGTTGCCTCATGGCACAAAGTGGCTGCCAGGGCTCCAGCCTTCACATCCTCACTCAGAGAGAAAGGCAGAGGCCAGGGCTGGCTCAGCATCTTTCCAAAGTCTTCCTGGGAGGCCTTGGGACCTTTCTGCTTATTTCCCACTGATCAGGACATGGCCACAACTTGCTGCAGGGGAGACTGGGAAATGTAGCGACGCAGACAGTGAGGTTCTGGGATAGGCAGGAGGGGCGGGTGGGGCTTAGGCAGCGGTTCTCTAAATGTCTCCGTCCATTTTACAGATGAGGAAACCGAGGCCCAGAGAGGGGCAGTGACTCACCACGGGTCCCCCGGCCAGTACTGAGCATCAGAGCCAGGTCCTGTAACCCCCATGCTGCTGACAGTGCAAGTCTCTGCGACTCCTTCCAGTCTGTGAGCATTTGAAACCTGTGTGTGCAGAGCTCAGAGAAGCCCAGGGCCACACGGCCCTGAAGGGCTGCACCCAGACTCCTGGCTGTGGGTCCGTGGTGAGGCTCACCACTCCGTGTCTCAGTTTCCTTGTCTGTAACGTGGGGACAAATCGATCCCTCTGCCTAGGGCTCCCGTGAGACTCCGTGTAAGCCATTCCGGGGGCCTGTGCACAGTAGGTTGTCAATGTGTGGCAGCCGGTGCTGCTGTCAGTCGGGCGCCTGGTGGCTGAGAAAGATGGGTTGATGGCCAGTTTCTGGGGCTCATGGAACTGGCAGGGCTTGGAGTGGATAACTCAGAGTCCCAGGGGTCTCCAGAGGCCCTGGCCCCACTCCCATCCTGCAAATAAACTCTGGCCCGCACTATCTCCACGTCACTTGAGCCACACCTGAATGTGCTTGTGGCCAAGCCCGGGCTTGGGGTAAGGAGTGGGGTGGCAGGAGTGAGGGTAGGGAGGGCAGGAATGGGAGACGGGGTTTGCCCTGGGAACTGTCTCCCACAAATCTTCAAACATACAAATTTCACCAGGAGTGGGGGTGGTCTGACCCCCCACCCCTACCCAAATGTGCAGATGTCCCAGGAATTTTCCAGCCTGTCCCTTCCTGAGCCATGTGAGGACTCCCGGGCCCAAGGAGCAGAGGAGGCTCAGCCACAGCAAAGGAAACCCCCACAGGACTCTTCCCAATGGGCAGAGAAGGGGCAGCACCCAGCAGGACGGCTGATCCCCAAGCCTGGCCCTGGGTAGGGACCCAGCTGACCACAGACCTGGGTGTCCCACCAGCCTTGGCCCTCTCCTCCCTGGTCCCTGGGAAGCTGCACAGACTTCCTCCGCACCGTGGCGTGGCGTCAGGAGACCGTGTACGTGAGCATGCCCAGTGAGCGTGGGCTCTTGGGGAGCATGATGGATATCAACAAAGAGGATAAAATGAGAATAAATGTTATGGGCCAGGTGCTTTCCTGTCCTCAGTTCATCTTCAGGACAACCCCACCCACAGATGGGAAAACTGAGGCCTGAAAAGTGAGGCCACCCAGCAGCAATGGCTGGAACCCCATCACAGAGGGATCCAGGACAGAGCAGGTTCCTGAGGACACAGGGGACTCCAGCTTCTAAAACTCCCTGGAATGGGGCAGGCCTTGGGGACTCAGGGTGGAGGAGGGAGGAGAATGAGGACTGGCTGGCTGCCGGTGCAGAGGGCCTCACTCCGGGACTGGTCAGGGGAGCTAGAAGCTGGGCCCCTCGCCTCATAGCCAGGACTAGGGTGGGAGTACAACATGTAAGGAGGCCGAAAAGGGTTGAAAACTGGTGTTCAAACAAGTCCTTGCACATGCAAGTTCACAGCAGTACTAGTGACAATCACCAAATGTCCACAAACTGATGAATGGATGAACAAAATGTGGTCCATTTGCACAGTGGACTGTCGCTCAGCCATCAAAAGGAAAGAAGCACTGACGTGCTGCAACACGGATGAACCCGGGAGACATCACACTGAGTAGGAGCAGCCAGACACGAAGGGCCACATATTGTGATTCCATCTGTATGAAATGTCCTAAACAGGCAAATCCAGAGACGGAGAGCAGGCCGGTGGCTGCCAGGAGCTGGGAGAGGCTGCTGGGCCTCCTTTTGGGGTGGTGAAATGTTCTGGGAGTGTAGAGGTTGTTACTGCTCAGGGCCACCAGCTGGCAAGCAGTGGAGCTGGGACGTGCCTCTCCAGAAAGGTCCCTCGTCCCTCTCGGTACCCGGGTTCCGGCGATGCCTGGCTCTCAGCGCCCAGGAGCGAGTAAAAGGCAGGAATAGGTAAGGCTTCGTTCCCTTGGTAGCCCAAGATGATGTCAGCTCAGCCTGGGGCTGTTTGACATTTTTTCATTTTATTTTTTAAGGTATATTTTTATTGATTTCAGAGAGGGAGAGACAGAAACATCAATGATGAGAATCACTGATCGGCTGCCTCCTGCACACGCCCTACTGGGGACTGAGCCCGCAACCTGGGCATGTGCCCTTGACCGGAATCGAATCCAGGACCCTTCAGTCCGCAGGCCGAAGCTCCATCCAAGGAGCCAAGCCAGCCAGGCCGCCTGGGCTGTTCGGATTGGTGTGGCCCTGCTCCCTCCCGGGTGCTGTGAGGGGCCGGGCCCAGCAGGGCAGAGGGCTGGGATTTTGCAGGATCCTGTGACAGCCGGCCCAGTTAGACCGAGGCCAGCACAGGTCATCCAAGGGCCCCGATCACACCCGGTTGCCCTGGAAAGTGATCCAGGGATGGTTTCGGGGTAGCTGAGAAGGCAACCAGGGAAAACAAACAACCTTTGCTTTCCAGCCAGATTGAATTCCCAGGCCGGCGCCAGAGCAGCCTGGGCGGGACCTGGCAGGGGCCGGCAGAGCCCACAGGGGAGATGGGGAGATAGCTCAGCACTGGAGGCCTAGTTCTCTCAGGGCAGCTGAGTGTGTGGGGGAGGACGTACCTTGTGCATGGTTTCCCCCCACCCGTCCAAGACAGCTGTCTTCCCTCTTAGACGCCAGCACAGGGCTCGCCCTCCCCCCCAGACCCCAGAGCAGGGCTCACCCTCCCCCCCAGACCCCAGAGCAGAGCTCGCCCTACCCCGTCAGACCCCAGAACAAGGCTCGCCCTCCCCCCTCAGACCCCAGAGCAGAGCTCGCCCTACCCCGTCAGACCCCAGAGCAGGGCTTTGCCTCCCCGGTCAGACCCCACAGTAGAACTTCGCCCCTCCTCTCAGACCCCAGAGCAGGGAACCCTCTTCCCTCAGGCCCCTGGGGTCGTGTTGTTAGACATAAAGGTCTGGTTGGGTGGTTTGTCCCTTTAGGCCCCAGGGGACCCATTCTGGCCAATGAACTGTGACCTGAACTTGAACAAGGAACTTCCTAGCTCGGCCATTTAACTGATAGCCCAGACTTTTCTGAATCCCCCCCCCCCCCCCCCGGGTCAGGAGATGGTGGCTGCCCCTTCACCTGGATTTCCAACTATGACCCACAGAGCCTGCTGCACGTGGTGTGGATGAGAAATAACCCTCAGCCCCTGAGCCAGAGACCTGGGGGCTTTCCTGATGCTACAGGGACGTGGGGGAGAGAAGAGAGGGGCGGACACGTGACAGGAGCCTGGGGCAGGAATTTCACAAACACCGCCCACCGGCATTATTTGCAACTCCACGTTTGCACACGCTCTTGCCGGCTAAACCCCCAAATCAAAATACTCCCGGTGCTTTCGTGCTCCCTGGAGGACACGTGCAGAGCAGGGCACAACCCGGGTCCCGGGAGGCACCTGTTCCCAGCTGAGGCGGAGCAGGGTGACACTGCCTTCTGTTCCAGCTCAGACTGTAAATGAGTCTTTTCTGCGGTCTACCTTTCCCATTTCTGTGCTTTCTCTTGGCATTTCGCTGTTTAAAAAGGCCCCACGCGTGGTGCCGAAGTGCCGTCTGGTATCCCTAAGCTCCAGCGGGCTGCCTCGCTGGAGGCATGTGATATGTGTGAGGTGAGCTGTGTTCAGGTGTGAGTTACACTGCTGTTGGCAGTGAGTTCAAGGTTAAGGATGCAGCAGTATCCGTATAATAAGCAAGGTATCAACCACTTGACAAAAATGTGACCACAGCTCCTCACAGAAACCCACCCATTTTCCTGAGGAGCCCAAGATTCACTCGTTCCGTTTTCTCCGCAACTTTAGTATAAAATGGAACGACTGCGAATAATGAGGGTCGACCCTTGTATCCATAGCTCAGCGGAGGGAAAGGATGCACAGCCAGCTTTCTGTGGAGAGCAGGCTCTGGGCTCCAAGCCCAGCTGTGATCTTAGCTGTCCGCGGCCTCAGTGTCACCATCTGTAAAATGGTGACAGAACGGGCTTCCCACCGGGCTGTGACGGGACTAAATGAGACACCTGTCTAAGGTGTTGCGAAGTGGTCCCCGAGATACACGGTAGCTGTTACTATGACGTTACTGTGCGCAAGGACAGGGGAGCAGGACTGGGTCTTCCTCGCGACCGAGAATCCTGGGCCTCAGTTTCCATCTGAGGAACAGGAGGAGCAGCAGGGCCACCTCCCCGGGATTTCCCCCGCTTGCGGGGTCACGGCTGTCCGGCTGGCACAAGGTGAAGACCACGAGCCACACTCAGGGCCAGGATCAGGACTCCAGACGGCAGGTGGCATAGTGTTTATTGCCCAGAGGACAGCCTGTGGCCTCCGGGCACCAGACAGTCTTGACACAAATGACGTGAAGGCACCAGTTTCCATCTCGCCCCACCTCTGCCCTACAGGGCCTGGGGCAGGAGACCCCATCAAGCAGCCAGGTCCACCCCCATCGGGCCAGCAGCTCCCCACGGGGCTGAGGGTCCAGAATGCCCTGTGCTGCCAAGGTCCCCAACATGAGCTAGGGTGGGGCAGCTGCCAGTCCTGGGGGTGTGGGGCAGGGGCCCCTTCCCTGGGACAGGAAGGGGCTACGACACGCTGGGGGGCAGGCGTGCAGCTGCTGTTTTCTCCACCACGAAGCCGTAGTTGTACTGAGGGGGAGGAAGAGCACAGAGTGAGCGAGGGGCCGTGGAGGGTGCTGTGAGGCATGGGGGGCGGGGGGAGAGCCACTGAGGGACTGAGTGATCTCCAGCCCTGGAGAGGTGGGGTGCAGCTGGGGGAGACCTGGGGTGGGGGAGGGTCCCAGCACCCCCTGCCTTTCCTCCCCGCCCCAGCACCTACCTCCTCCTCAATGTCTGCCAGCGACTTGATGGTCAGATCAGCAAAGGCAGAGAAGGCCTGGTGGGCAGGGGCGGGTCAGTCTTGGACCCAGACCCCTACCTGGAACCCCATTCCCTCATCTTCGAGCCTCTCTCAATATCTGCCTGGACATCCCCTCCCTCTTCCTGCCACAGCCTCTGGCCACCAGCATCCAGCTGCCCTCTGGACTCCCCCATTCCAGACTGGTGCCCGCCAGCCCCACGGCTTGGTCTCCAGCCTCCCCCAACCCAGAAACTTGGGCCTCAGTGCTGGGGGCCGGGGCCTGGATGATGGCCCCCGTGCCCCTGTCTAGAAAGGCGATGGGCAGGGACAGACCCAAGTTCCCCCAGGGCAGACTCACCAGAGGGCCGCAGCTCTTGCCTTCGAATCGGGGGTGCAGCGTGAAGGGAACCCCATCCATGGCTGAGGAAAGCACGGGGTGGGGAGTAAGGAACTGAGGGGCAGCGGGCTTGGGGCTGGCTGCTGCCCACCCCAGAGCCCACCCGGCACGCTCCCTTCCCCCTGGCCAGTTTTATTTTTAATCCTCACCAGAGGATTTTAGAGAGAGGAAGGGAGGGAAAGAGAGAGAGGAACATTCATGTGAGAGAGAAATATCCCCCAGTTGCCTCCTGTACACACCCCAGATGGGCATGGAAGCCGCAACCTAGGTATGTGCCCGACTGGGAATTGAACCCAAAACCTTTTGTTGTGAGGGAGGACGCGCCAACCAACTGAACCACACGGGCCAGAGCAGCGCCCCTGCTAGTCTTTACGGAATGGGGTGGGGCCAGGCCTGGTTCCAACCGTGGCCACGTCCCTTCTGAGCTGTATAAACCTTTGGCCAGTCGCACCCAGCCTCAACCCCAATCCCTCAGTTGCCGGCTCTGCACTCACCTGAGATGCCATAGAGGTTGGAGGCCTCGTAGATGGAGTCACTCCTCCGCAGGGTGGAGGCCCTGGAACCCAGTCTCGACAATGTCCCCTCTGGGAAGCCGCCCTTGCTGGTGGTGATGGGACAGCCCCTGTCAGACCTGACGCACCGCCCCACCCCCATTCCCGCCCCCACCCCCGAGCCCAAGGACTCACCTGGGCTGGCTGGGTTGGTCCAAGGACAGGCCCTGCATGTCCCGGCTGAGAGCTCGGGGCTTGGGCACTGGCCGAGGGGCCTTTGCCTTCTTGCACCAGATGGCAAAGCCACCCATGTCCCTAGATGGGGAGGGAGGGAGAGGAGTGTT